GTTGTCCTCCAAAGTAGTTTCTTGTTTTTTCAGTAGATCCTGTAGAGCTTGGAACCTGCTGTTGAGACTTATTTTGAATTCGTTCAGCTTGTCAGTATCTCGAAGGAAGGCTGTATTGAACCTTTGTAGTGCTGTTTGTCCAGTTGTCCAGTGTTTCTTTAGCTTCAGTCTCATCTTGGCCACAACCAGGTGGTGATCTGAAGCTATGTCAGCTCCTCTCCGGGTTCTCACATCTTCCATTGATCTTCGGAATTTTTTGTTGATACAAGTGTGATCTATCTGGTTCTCTGTGGTTTGGTCCGGTGAGATCCATGTAGCTTTGTGTATGCGCTTGTGTGGGAATATTGTGCCGCCTATAACCAATTTGTTGAAAGCACATAGGTTTGCAAGTCTCTCCCCATTTTCATTTCTCTCTCCTAATCCATGTCGTCCAATTATATCTTCATATCCTGTGTTGTCCACTCCAACTTTAGCATTTAGATATCCCATCAGGATGGTGAGGTCCTTTCGTGAGCACTTCTCTATAATTGATTATAGTTTTTCATAGAACTGATCTTATCATCGTCGTTGCTATCATTGGTGGGTGCATAACATTGGATAACGTTCATTTTGATCCCTTGCTTCTTTGTTCTGAATGATGCTTTGATTATCCTGGATCCATGAGATTCCCATCCCACAAGTGCATTTCGTGCTTCTTTGGACAGCATTAGAGCAATTCTTTGAATGTGTGGAACATTTTCCCCTTCGTGACCGGAGTACAGAAGCATCTCTCCTGTACCTAGCCTTTGTTGTCCAGTTTGTGTCCAATGTGTTTCGCTTATTCCGAGCACTGCTAAGTTGTATCTCTTCATTTCCATTGCTATTTGACTGGTCTTCCTGTCTCCCACATTGTTCGGACGTTCCATGTACCTATAAAGAGTGTTGCTCTGGTTGTTAGAAGGTGCATCGGTCTCGCGACTTCCGAAAAATCTCGGCTTTCATCATGAGTCGTCATAATTATTCCTTCAACTCCCAGGGCAGAGTTTAAATGGTTTGAATTATTTTTTCAGGTTAGCGTTTTTTTAGCGAGTTAGCTTTTCTACGGGATGGGGTCGCTAACCCCATGCCCAACCCTCCTTTTTTACCAGGGCTTGAGACCGGTAGTAACTCTAGAAGAGCTACAGGCGGAGTTCAATATTTATAGTCAAATAAGAATAAATAACAGACGTGATAAATAGGATAAGAAGTGTACACACACCTACGCTCATACAAAAATGGTCAGGATTAATTAGTGAATAATTAACAGTGTGGAAACATGACTCAAGATGAATAAGTAAATTGGCTTGTCCATAAGTTAAAATAAGGCATATGGGCTTAACATAACAACTGATACTACAAAATGATACATAAATGGGAAGAGTAATCATTTCTAAATGAAAATATTGTAGATTTTAATTGATGGAAAAAGTTAACTGTATCATCAGTTAATACTACCACTACAAACCCATAGTTTTGAAAGTGCGTATTGTTAAAAACAAAAACCTTTCATAAAAGGAAAACATAAACGGTATACACATTATATCATTCGGCTATCTTCTTCATGGATTGGAAATAAATATGTGTTTGGCATTGTGTATAACTTGAATTTTTAGTTGGGTCGACCTTGAACAAATAAACCACTGAATACCGACTCAGTGATCTTAAGATCAGTATCTCGTTACAAGATTTGAATATTTTGGATTAGATCTTTAAGTAGTTCGTGGATTCCCATCACTGAACAGTCCTAAACTAGAATGAAGCATCTGTACAACGCTTTCTGATTTATAATAGTTGTTCAACCAACATCAGATCTTTGTGTTAACTATAAATTGAATTAATTGGCATGGTGAACTGTTATATCCCGTGGAGATTGATGAGTGGTAACTTTGAGAACTATTTATGAACCAATATGATATGTATATTTCCTATTGCATAGTTGTTAATCCGTTTAACTATTCATATTCATGTTCCTTTTATTATGAGCTTCATTTTGACTCATAGATTATTGCTGTGCGATTTATCACTCCTGAATTATCCCCAGTCTATTAATTACTGTTCCCCTATTCACAGCCACATTTGACTAAATATTGTATAAATATTCTTTTCTATTTTATGATACGATGTGGTCGGTTTGTTTAGTATATAAACCCAGTATGTTTGAGAATAATGATTCATATTGCAGAGGTTGTTATTAGTATTCTGGACTTAACTGGCTGGGCTAGGCAGAAAGCGGGACTGATAAGAACTCAAAACTGCTCATACGGCTTTTGTGTATCATTGGGTGATCAATAAATTCACCGCTCTCTGATTGGCGGTATTATCACTTCATATATATAAACAGGGAACGCACGCCCAAGCAATCGACATAACATGAACTATTTACTAACAAGGAATCAGCAAATTAATTTGTGCAATCTGTAAGATGATTGTTATGAAAAACTTTCTATTCAAAGTAGGAAATAATTCTAATTATCCTAAGAAAGAGTATGTCAAAATTTATGAATGTGAAGATTTGTATACTAACAATTATCTGGTAACATTCTTTTGTAAGAAATTAATTTAACAATGTAGGATTAACAAACTGAGCTACTTAAATGGATATTTGTTTCTTCATTTGTTAGTTTAGCGAAAAAGAACAAGTTACTATGATGTCGCTTAAGATACTGCTTAGTATAAAATTCATAAGCATGATCGAGTAGTTCACACTTTTAGATACAGTTAAATCTTTATCAGAGTATTTCTTTTATCTTGAGAATATTGGTTCTCATGGTAATAAGGAGAACGTGATAATTCGAACGATAAAATGTTCGTTTTTTACCTCTTTCATGTGATATATATTGTTTTTAAAGAAATGTCGTTTCTACTTGTGTCTTCAGGTATTTGTTATATATTAATTAAGTGAAAAAATTGATCAGTAGTTGGCTCAAACCAAAATACACAAAATAAAATATATCACTAGTGCATTCTTTGATCGATTTCAGAGACCTGACAAATTCAGCCAAAACCATTGAGTTTCGTTCAGCAATAGTAATAAGTAAACAATAACATATATACATCACCTACTCAATCGTATCTAAAGCATCTAGACTTGACCAGGTGAAATAAAAGACTAGAAAACCAGAGATTTCCTATTATTAATAATCGTGGGCCATGACTGAATTGTGTGGCGTCCCACATCATTCCTTTCAGGTTTTCAGTAAGCTAGAAATCTAGTCATTCATCCCACAAGATGTTTCTTAGACGAAATTCCTCATCAATTGATCAATTAATTCGAGTCAAATAGAATCCGGAAATCATATTTTGATCACTGAATTTATAACTGAGAAGTAAACGTCACCCATTGTAAAACAGTGATAATTACATTAAACATGCTGGACTTTATCAATCATTTAAAACAATAACGCAATTTTGATTTTCCTTATTAAATAATTAACAAAGATCTTGGGACTAAATGATGTTTATAAAGTATTGCAACCTCGTAAACTAGAATATTTGAAGACTATCTCAACACTATTGTAAATAGTTTACTTCATGTATCAAAGTTAGCTAGATAATCATTGAAAATCATTGGCTACCAAATATTTGTTTCTTTCCAACTTGGGACTCCGTTACAACTTTGATCCTAACCTCACAAAGGATCTAACCAAATTGTCTTCAATTCTCGTTATGATTGCCTAAACTTCCAAACCAATAAGTTGAATTCCAATAACTTTTCTTTTTCTAACTTCAATCAATCATCACAATTACATTTAATAGACTTTTAAAGATGTCATTTCACTCATAGTATATAGTCATAAATATATAATTGACTCACTGTTGAAATTATATGCTCAAATTATCACAGTAATTATAAATTATTGTTGTTTTAGCTTATATAATCAAAAAAAAGAAACAAATTATAGATTTGTAACCAAAGATGGATAGTGACTAGTAGCGGAATCCAGGACGTGCGTTTCGTCCTACCTGGATGTACCTGTATCCCAGAGTTGATGTTCACTCTGGGACTCGAACCCAGTACCTTTCGCTTCAAACGCCAACGCGTTGTCCACCTGGTTGAAATAGAACGAAATGCACGTCCTGGATTCCACTGCTAGTCACTATCCATCTTTGCTTACAATTCTTGTGAAATAGGGCTATATCGAGGCAATACGCACAGTATTCACATATGCCAATTAGAGACTGACCAGTTGCAGTCCTAATCATCAATGGGAAGATTCAAACAAACAATACTAAGTGAATTTAAACTACAGATTTGATTAGCTTTCTTTTTCATAATTACAATTACCATTACACTGATTATGACTGGACACTTTACTGCAAATCATTTTAACTATCTGGATTATCTGACCCATAAATTTATTTTCATCCTTACCCCTTGATTAGTACGTAACCTCATTTGTTATTTATTGTCGAATCAATTTATAATGCAATCTTTCCTAGCCTCCTGTATACATGTATTTTCCATATATATACGAATGTATAGCTTAAGAAAATGATTTCGTCAAGAAGGAAATTTTCTTCGCTGAATTCTCTTTTTTTCGTATTCAATGACACTATGAGTTATTTTAATTATTTTGACCTTTATTAAATCACCTTTCTAATTTACAAATAACACGATTTTGAAGTATATATGTCGTAATAGCAGATGTAAACGTTAACCATTTTTAACATATAACACCGTCAAATTCACTAATACATGCCTCATTTTGGCTTTTGTAAAATATGGGAGTTGTTTGTGGAGATTTTTAGTAATTTTTATATATAGTTGAAATCATTAGTCAATTGAAGCTAGACCGCCATGGAAGACCCGGAAGCACTGGAAGATATATACTCACTGAAGATATTGGTGAAATGGTTGCTCAACTTCGTGGATTAGTTGAAGTTAGACATTAACACCGTTGGATGCTGGCTCAGTGGTCTATCTGTTAAGTTCTCACTTGCGAGACTGATAGATCTTGGGTTCGAATTTCGCGAGGCGGGATCGTGGATGCGCACTGCTTTGTAAAATATCACAATAATGAAGGACTTATAACTGTAGAGCCTTGATAATGAAGTCATTGCAGAAACGATTATTCGTTTAAATATTGTTCATCATTACAATATAATTGACAATAAACAACATTCAATATAAATATATTTATAAAAGTAGATTGTATGTTTCAATATGAATATTCAATTAATGAATGATATTACTAAATACAGTATTGTGTAATATTGTTTATTGTAATATCCGTTTAAATCGAAAATATAAATGATGATCTTCCATTGGGTTTATTTCTTTAGCAGACTAGAATGAAAAAAAAAGATAATCATAGAAAAAAAACTTTTTATTTTTTATTTTTATTCTTTTTTTGAAGCAAAAATAGGATAATTTACAATTTCCAGTATAACTAACTATTTTTTAGATTTACTTGATGGATAATGGAAATTTTTAAATAGGAATGAATTTGAAGGAAATCCAACGTTTCGCCTGGCGATCTGGTCCAAGCTTTTTCACGGGAAAAGGGTGTAAGGCAATTATCCACTGAAGACGATGAAAGATGGTCTCGCAGTATTATGAATTAGCCGAAGTTAGACATTAACACCGTAGGATGCCAACTCAGTGGTTTGGAGGTTAGGCGTTCGCGTGCGAGATTCAAGACCCTGGTTTCGAGTCCTACGTACAAAATCGTCGATGCACACTTCTCACGAGTCCCATAATAGGACGAAACAGCCATTCAATGCTTACAAGTCTAACACTGAACAGTTATCAACCTAAAAATACTCAATAATTCCCACAAGCGTTTACTGAAAACAGATTTTATTTTGGTTTTGTTGTAAATGAAGTATCAGTGAATGACATCTCAAAACTAGCTTAACATCACAGTCAACATATCGACTGAAAAACTAGCTAATAAAAAGGCTTTTATTTCATCAGGTAGTGGAATATCCTGAACAACTAATTCTTTCATTAAGAATATTCACACACATTTTATTATCAACTTGTCCTTAAACAGAATGGTAATATAAAAGGTCAGGCTTCGTAAGTAAGCAAGTAAGTTAGTTAGAATAAAATATATCCCCTACATAAGTGAACTCACCTCGAAACCAAGATCATAAGCCATTTGACTGACATTTTCACAATAGGCTTTGATTTGTTCGGACCTAACCTCCACTATGTACCTTCAAATGTGTAGGAGAATATTAAGAAATCAAGTTAATAAAGAAAATTTATGTTGAAATTTAGTTTGATAAAATTCTGTTGTATTAAATAAACAGGAGTTTACTTGAATATCAGCTTAGGATCTCTCACAAGAATACATCATGTTGAGTTTTCATAATTAACAATAATACTTCGAAATTATCAAGTGATATTAAACCGAAAATTCATGGTTTACAAAGTTAAAAGCCATGATATATGGCGCTAGGTTTCCGACAACTGAGTTCTGTCACGGCCTGTAGTCCACCTGCAAGTGTCAGGATGAGATATACAGTGACCTGCCAATCTAAATGTATAGGGGTTTTGTCATTTCAAACATCTCATGATCTAAAACAACTTAAGTTGACTTTGTTCTCTTCACCATTTTAAACTTGTAGAGTTTGGTTTCAGGTTTACGGGGAATATAAAACGAAACTTGTTAATATGATGTTCATCACTAGAACCATAAATAAGAAAATTCTCAAAAATAAATAAAAAATGAATAAATACAGCTATAAAGAGAGAAAGATGAATAACTTCAAATGACAGTATATTGTTTCCACTATCCTCGTACACATTAAATGTTTAGAGAGATTGATGCAATCAAAGGAGAATATTGCTGAGAGAAACCTTAATGTGAACAGTGTACTATTATGTGAGTCAAATAAAACAATGTTATTTATTAATAAAACTTTCAAACTCACAGAATAGATTCTACAATTAGCAATGCTTCATCTTCTAAAAGATCAGTGAATGAAACATTGGATATATCAGTATTAAATAAATCATTTTCTAAAGTGCTTTCATTGGATTTAGCTCTCATGTCTTCTAATTTATCATTACATTCTTTTTCATCTAGATTATTATTTGATTTGAAATGTGATCCATTGTCTTTTTTACATTCTCTTTTATGTAGATCAGATAATAAGTGAACTAAACTGTTACCAATGTAAATTATGCTGAAACGTTTATTTAATGATGATGATGATGATGAGTTATTGTCGGTACTTTTGAGAAATAAAGATCGGTATCTTATAGGTAAATCTAAAAAACTGTTACATGGAAGAAAGTTAACTTTGAACGTGTTTGCAATATCCAATGGAACTGAAAAAAAAGATGGAAGAGAAAAGAATAATGAAGTTACCAATTGACTTTTAAATCAGTTAACTTGTGAATAATTATCTGAAGGGGTTTTGTGGAGATTTAGTATTTTTCATAGTGGAAAGCATGAGTCAATTGAAGCTAGACCACCATGGAAAACCTGGAAACACTGGACGGCCGCTTCGTTTTATTATGGGACTCCTCAGCAGTGCGCATCCGCGAACCCGCTCTCGCGAGATTCGAACCCATTTTTCTTTCTTTTTGCCAATAGACTAACTAGTATACCATTTAATAACACCGATGAAAAATACAAATACAGACTTTTAAACTGTAACTGATTGATTTAATAGTATTTTTTACCTCATAAGATCTCAAGATCATGGTTTCAATTCAGTATGATGTTGTGAATCCAGTACTAATATTAATCATTCAAATTTATTCCCTGCTTCTTGGATTTGATATAGTTCTCTAAATGATACTGTTTCATTATCAAAAATTACTCTCAAATTATACTTACAAATAACTTCTTTTATCAATCTATCAAAATGCTCAAAACAACATTGTCACCTATGTTGACTTTCAGTTGTAGTAAATAATTCATTATTCGTCTGTTTCCTCATTTTCATGAGTATAATTCATTTGATTCATTATTTTATCTTCACGTACAACATGAATTTTAATAGTTGAGATCATGAGTCAATTGAAGCTAAAACACCATGGAGAACCTGGAAGCATTGGACGGCCGTTACGTCCCATTATGGGACTCCTCAGCAGTGAGCATCCACGATCCCGCCTCGTAAAATTCGAACCCAGGACCTATTGGTCTCGCGCGCGAACACTTCGCCTTCAGACCATTAAGCCGGCATCCAACGGTGTTCATCTCTAACTACAAGTAATCCATGAAATTGAGCGACACGTCTACCATTGTTTTTAGTTAGTTACTACCTCACGACAGACATGTTTGAACTCCACCGACAGGTCCTGGGTTCATATCTCGCGAAACGGGATCATGGATGCGCATTGCTGAGGAGTCTCATAACAGGACGAAAGGGACGTTCAATGCTTCCAGGTTTTCCATGGTGGTCTAGCTTTAATTGACTCATGATCTCGACCCCTTCTGATAATAATAGGAATTTTACTAAGTTTTTTTTATTAAAGCTAATCAGTATGATGGATTGATTATTCCCAAATAAATAAAAATAATTTTTGATTAGCAAAATAGTCAAATTTAATGATAATAGAAAATATTTCAATAATATTGATATTTGATTTTATTACCATATTCTGTATTGTCGAATTGTTTTGTAAATGAATCTTCATTTGAATCTTTTGATTCTTCATGTGATTTATATAGAGCTGATGTTTTCTCTTCTTCTTTCAACTTTTCTGCTATAAAAATACAACGTCAATGTAATCAAAGAAACTCAAAAGTGATGATATATACAATTTCTATATGATAAAAAGTTTTAACCATCTTCCTATCTTCACTTAGTATTACTTGTTTGAGTCTTCCCATTGATGTTTAGGACTGCAACTAGTCAGTCTCTTATTGGCATATGTGCATACTGTGCGTATTACCTTGATATAGCCTTGTTTCACAAGCATTGTAAGCAAACATGGATAGTGGCTAGCAGAAGAATCCAGGATGCACGTTTCGTCCTATGTGGGACACGTCAGCTGGGTGTACCTGCATCTCAGAGTTGATGTTCACTCCGGGACTCGAACCCAGTACCTCTCGCTTCAAATGCCATCGCGTTATCCACTCATCTACTGAGTCCTGATAGCCACTTGCTTGTGCAACGAGGTGAAGTTTAAATTCATTTAGTATTACTTGTTTGAGTCTTCCCATCCATCTTCCTATCTGTTATTAAATTAATTGTCCAGTTGAACTGGATTATGTATTCATTAGTGTGTTTTTAATTTTTTTTATTCCTTCCTATAATCCTCGTGATCAAAATAATATGAGAATACAATAGACTATGGAAAATTGTCTTTTATTTCGTTTCTTAGTCCCTGTAAAAATTATACTTGATTTCACGAGCTGCATAAAGATAACACGAAATATATTAAATAATTTCCGTAAGCGTAGTCAACGGGCTTATGAAGTCAACAATAACTTGTTGAAGGTAGACTCAGTCTATTAGCTAACAACAATAATGACAAAAGCCTAAAAGTTCCAACATCAGATCAGGAGACTAGGTGGTTGAATTATACCTTGGTGTGATGATAGCAAAATTACTAATAACAACACAAATACACCTCATTTTAACACAACAAACTGTTAACAATTTGTGAAGAGATTAGAATAGTTCACTTCTCAAATATCTTATTGATGAAAAGATTACATGGTATATTTACACACAAAAGTACTTGGTTTTCCATAAATGAAATTGTTTAAAATTCCAACTTCAGTATCTTGGAAACATTTTTAATAGCCTACCTATCTTAGCACCTAACATTATTTGCTTTGGTTGGGTCTAGCTCAAAAAGCATACATAAACGCAGTTTACTTAGTAGCTCTGTAAGACGAGAGATAATTATGTTGGTTTTTCCACTAATGTTGCACTGGTAACCGTATAAGAAAAAGATATCTTTTCGAAACCATCTTATACTGACTATTTCCTTGTTTTGACTTGACAGTTACATACTCTATATCTGTTTCCTTATTCTATATTATGCTGATATACTGTTTTATATGGCCGACTCATTAATAAAAGTATTATATCAAATTTATTTAAAGGCAAACGAAAAACATAATATTATTTTTTTCTACTTGTCAAACCCATTAGGGTATAACACAGATTAAATTATAATCTGGGGAATTCAGAATGAATAAGTTATTTACTGGTTACACTAGATGACAATCAACAAAATTTTCTAATTGACTAACACTGGAAAATATAAATCAAAGAATTTCGACTTAGATCTTGATTCCGAAACATTTACTGAACGAAATAACTTCTTTCTAATGTTCAATCTTTCGCTAGCTGATGACAGTGGTTGATAAAGTTATCGCCAAAAATGAAGTTCCATAGAACTGATATATGGTGAAAAAATCAGTATACGTTTTTATCTTGTTAAATTCTAAAGAGATTTTACATTGACTTACAATTTGTGAACATGTAGTCATCAGAATTTCCATTTTCAACATTCATATTCTGTCTACTATCGTCTGGGTCATTCTCTACTGTGGGATCATTTCGTGAAATAACTTCTTCGTCAGGGGAACTGACATCATCATTTGTTGTTGATGGGTCCAAAAATGGAGCTGATATATGTAATGGGCATTCTTTTTGATTTTCTAATTCCCAGAACATTTTGCGAATATTCACTTCAGATATGGTTGATGCCGCATATGCGTGCTTTCCATTAACAAGACGATTTAGTTCACAACATCCAGATGTATCTATACCAAACACTAAATATGGTGAACAGATTATATCACCCCAATACCCCCAGTAAACTCCTTTATCACCAGCTGAATTCCTGAAAACTCTTCCAGAAGCTAAGCTTCTATTTGGAACATTGTAATTGGCTTCTCGAAGTTCAAATGCCATCCCATACTGACGCCAATGAGCATATTCTTTAGAGTTTATTTGAGTAGCCTTGATAAAAATTACACGAAATGAATTTTTTCATGAGTCCCTATCTCATAAAGTGGATATAATTACAATGAAAATTATGAGACATCAGTTTTTCTTTCAAATATCAGCCGTAAGAAAATTGATATCAGTAGTGTAAATGTAGTACTTCATCATAAATAGTCTGATAAACAATGTTTTATTCGTTAAGTATTCATATGGATTATGAAGACCTTATGAGGGGAGTATATTCTTTAAAAATTCCATTAATTACTTACATCTGTCGTTAAACGAATACTGTTAACTAGGTGATGATAATAATTTAACATAATTCTCTACCATCTAACTTTTGAGGTCAAATGGATATCATACTGCTACATCGAAAACATTACTGAAATTTCGTGTAAAAATTGTGGATTCCCAGAGTTAACCAAATAATCAACTAAGTGGTCCATGCAGATGATTTTTGCAATGGACTAATATCAGGTAGATGAATATTTACAAACCGTGGAATTATTTAATTGTAAATTATAATTTACCATCACACCTAATATTACTAGGATACCTTACTTCTCATGTAGAGCATGCTACTTATTAACTTATATCTTGGGAATGAAGTAAACCAGATAAACAATTTTCATACATGTGCTGATCACACTAAATACAACAAACAAAACAGAAGACAATAGATAACTGCTCAACTTAACTGAACAGCTTCATAATAGCTTATATTTTTGAGTCTTTATATGGTTGAGCAAAGAGCAAACATTTAACTCATAGTCGCTCTCTGAATTCGACGAATAATTATCCTATGATTTTATAGGGAAGAATAAATCTAACTATTACTTGATCTTAACACTGGTTTACAACCAAAAAATATGAAATACTTTGATTGTAGATTTACATCTCTTAATGCTTTTAGAAGTATGAGAAAGTGTAGGAAAGTTTCCTTTGCATAAACTTTGAAATTGTGAGAAACTTTATCATAGAAGCCATCATAAAAATTATTGCCGAACACTTTAAACTAAAACTTTTCAGTGAGTACACACTAAATAGTTGAGAGAAAAAAATTATTTGCCAAATATTTCATAACATAAATATGGTCACTCATTCTTATTTCTGACAATTATTTCAATTTTTATTGAAACTATAAACCGATAAATGTGTAGACTACTAATGAATAAATGGAAACACTGAACAGATATTCTGTTCTAGTATGGGACTACCCATGGATGAGCGTTGCTGAGAAGTCCCATACTATAATACTATAATGCTTCCAAGTTTTCAATGGCTCTGTAACTTAGACCAATTTGCAATTTCAATGAAATCAAAAACTCTCCGCAAACCCTAACTGATTATTTCAATTTTATTATGTTATTAATATGTTAATAGACTAGAAGTACTTACCTTTCGATCGTGTAGAGTAATGCTACAGTCCCAGTCGAAAACATTTGGTATAGCATCGTAACGAGTACCTAAATGTTTACGTAAACGATAATCCCTGTAAAAAAAATTTTGAGGTTGTGTTTAAACATCAGACTTAATAGACAATTTAACTCAGAGGCATAAATCTCAATAAAAAGTTAGTATTTAATTCCATAGTAAAAGTATAATTTAGGATCAACAAGATATGTACAAATTCACTTAGCTGTAAACATCAGCTAGGACAGATGATAATAGCAATAGCTCGGCGGGAGAACTTTATCAGCAACTAAAAGTGTTGTTGTTAATCATGGTCAAGAATGGAGTCTGGCAGAAATGAGAGTTTAACTTGATTTCCCATACTACGAAAACACAGCGAAATAAAATTTATGAGATGGATAGACCAGGAATCGAAACGATGGAACGCTAATCACAATTAGAAAGACTGAACATTGAGGTTATGGGATGAAAAGACACAACTAACAGTTATGTATAATAGGATAGTGGAAAAACACTGTGGAGATAAGAAATGAATGCATATACACCACTGCAACCGATTATAAGTCATGTCGCTAAAAGTCTGTAATCACTGATAGTCGTCGTGCAGTCTCCAACTAAGTAACTTATTTCTACTAACTGAAGCCAGAATGTTTTGATGATATTGTTTCCGACTGTCAAACAAAGGATATTGGTTCCATATCCAGAATAAAAGTTTTGGAAATCTTTTGCTGACGGTTGAACGCTCCGTCACATACCTTCAACAGCTCACAAATCTGTAACCCTGTATTGAATTGAAGAAACCACTTCGTGCGATAAACTGTGGCTTCTGTTGAATGAATAACAAGCATAAAAATGATGATCATTAAAATGAATGGTCCTAGCATCAAAATTAATGAGATTTTGCTGTCACTGTCAATCAGTCACCATAATAGGGCCTACGTATAACCAACAAAAAAGATTCAACTGCTGGAGCATTTTACCTAAATGCGCCTACGCATCCTAATCTTCTCCATAAAAACTAGGACGCTTGATATTTTAAATATTGCATTCACGACAAGACTATATGATGCTGAAGTTAAAGTTAATAAAATATTTTGAAGCAATGCCAATAAAATTGCTGTTTCATAAATTACAACGAATAATGTTTTCATAGCTAAGAATAATCATAATAATAAGCTGTCCTACAAAAACCATAAGGAGTACAATTGGTACTCAAACAGGTGTAATGAAATTAAAATATTCTGAAATGTTACTCGCTCAAACAATTGCCAGTACAAGTTCAAAATGTCAACTTAAAAAATTATAAATGAAATGCATTGATCACTACTTTCCTCCAAGAAAACAATTACGTAGTTAGTTTAAGGAATAGCTCTTATGAGGATCTGGATCTACGGTAAGTTTTATTGAAATTCAAATCGTTACTCCTTAGGAACTTATTTGAAGAAAACACAAAACTGTAATCAGATAACCCACAACTCATCATGTTTCGAAGAATGTCATTTACGATCAGAAAGACAAGTCTACATATCTTACAAAAGAGACCATAAGAAAACATCCTGAAAATGAAAGTTATCAGTTTCTATGCCTATCTGGATCTATACACAATATTATAGATAAGGCTACAGACAACCAGTTCTCTAAGTTATAATGATGCAAATGAACTGTTGAGTATAATTATAAACGATACCCTTATAGAAGACAACTAAGAACAAGAGGTATAAAAATAATACATTACCTAAATAAATGTTTGCATAAACAAAACTAGTGTTAACCAACTTTAATCACATTTTGAACTCCTTTCAACCTGCCATATTAATGAATAATTAAATAACACTACCTTCAAGCAAATAAGAAGAAAGAATCTATATTGCCAAACGTAAACGAAACCATTAGATGTTTAATAGCTACCAGTTATGGCCTAAAAGACATTGAACCTACAAAGAAGTGGGTTATTATTCAATAATTAACTTATCTACAATGTTTGATTGGAATGAGTTATTTCGAAACGTGTACCGCAAAATCATATCCTCCGAAAATCACATCACTTTATGTTTAGTATGACTTCGTGAAAGTAATTTAGAAACTAAATAGTTTTCAACATACTACTGTCATTAGTAGCACATCAAAAATTATTTAGAAAGGACTCAAATATCTTATATATAAAAGGTTTTAGGACAATTGATTTATGAGCGGCGCAACAACTAGTAAGTAGTAGTCAGGGTGAATTTTATTTTCTTCAAGAATTAGCGACAAGAACCGAACATACAAGATAGAGTGATTTTGAATCCAGTTTCTGAACCAACATTTATGAATCTGTCATAAATGATTACTTATATGCGTACCACAAGAACAGTCGATGAGTGAAATGTTTATCGTTTCTAGATAGTTTGGATGGAGCTTATAGCTAAAATATAACCACTATGACTACTGTGCATAATAGCCAGGTTAACTCGTGCTGAGAATTCTATATTGTACCAGATTATAATATTGAATAAAGCCATTAATAATAATAATAATTACTGAGGATAAATATTTTTAACTGTGTGCACCATGTGTCCAGTAAGTGTCTACTTATTTTAAAGTCAGCCTTCTGAATTCACGACTATTCCCCTTTTGTTGACAAATAACAAATTTTCCTCAACTATTTTTAAAGCCTGTTTCTTATTTTCCGTATACTGTCTTTCACTCTTCTTGTTTACATCTGCAAACGGTGGTGAAGCTTATCAAATATTAGCTTTAAAATGTCTAAGACCCATACCCATTAATGATGTCTATGTTTTGACGTCTGAAGTTAAAGCTAAATTTTTATTAGCATATGAACGGTATGATATGATCCGTAAATTCTTCCAAGTCTCAATCCAATATTTTATCTTTTATCAGAGACAGGTGGAAAAAAGCTTGGTTGAACGATGGACCATAACATCTCTTAAATTTAAATACCTTGTCTTGTTTAAATAAAGTGAATTATAAAACTACCTCATGACGATGGATTAAAGTGTTGCAAATAAATATTGGGGAGCAGGTTGACGTTGTGGATCTCAACAACACCAAAGACTTTGACAGTATTATTTCCCACCATCTGACGACAAGGCTAACTCGTTTCTGTGGTAAAGACTGGATTGGACATGTGTTTATTTCTTATATGTCAAACTTAATTGTTGAACCGGATGACTCTTGCCTAACCTTACATTTATTAAATAATGATGTCGCCTAGTGTTCGTTTCCTAGCTAGTTTTTCTTTAAATCAAATATAGACAAAACACATAATAAGATCATATCATCGAAAAAGCTATTTTCTGATAACCTTCAGTATGGATAACACTATAAAAGACAACATATCACCACAAATTAGTTATTAAATAGCAAGAGGTTTGACGTTAATGCTGGTGAAACTGAAAACAATGTAACGACATCAAAGGACGTAATATGATACCTTGTGCTTCGCAAAGAGGATAAGAGATCTCATACTATAAACATACTGACACGTTACTTATAAATAACGTTGGGCCAAGTCTTAACTAACAGTCATAGGTTATGTTTCTCAAATCATTTGACTACCACATGGTTAAGTTTCTTGATGCAGCATGGTTGAATATACCGATTAACTACAAAACTGTTTTGTGCGACATTTGGAGAGCGGAAAATAAGTATCAAATGGATACAAATGAAGTCACCAAAATCTAGGAAATGTTGTAAAATGACGCCAGTGAATATAAAAACGCCATACAAAGTTAAACAATTTTGTGTTCAGAGTGATGTGTGAGAACATCACATCTGCCAAAGTGATCAAAACAATAAGGCACTTTTGGCAGGTTAACTGAGATTTAGAAGAAGAATCTGATGAAACGTTGTGTCAACAACATTCAGAAAAGAGCAGCATAAGACCTAGAACAAATATGAATAATGAAAAAAGTAATCAAGTATTTTAATTTCTCCTTCTTATGACATTATTGGTTACTAAGTGAACGACCAAAAATTTGTAGTCTGACAAAGCAGTAGGAATATTAGTCAGTATGTGTCCCTCCTTAAATGATAACAAAAAGGAACCTACCAACACTTGACAGCATCAAACTTTGTTTCATCACTCCCACGCCAAAACTTAAGTGTTGACTCTAGCATATCACGTTCCTTGAATTTTAGATGTGACAGATCAACAAATGCAAATGATGGAAGAGGGCCCAAGTTTGTCACCAACCTGAAGGTTGTTAGTTTACTCAGAAAAAAGTAAACCTAGTCAGATTATTCGCAGCATTGGTCAAATATTTAGATGTGACATCTCGAATCATCATATTCCCAAAGATTTCAAGATATATCTCTACCTTCTCTTTTGATATTAGACCATAAACTCATATTTTACCCTGCAGCCCCATCCTTGTGTAAGTCTCAAGAGCTGTATATAGTTGAAGCATCTGTCTAGCGTATGTTCCATGAAATGGTTCGATCAGATAAAACTAAACAACAAATCGACAAATTAACAAGGTGATTACTGTTTCAAACTTAATTTTTCCAGAAAACTTAGAAGACAAAGTTAGCAAAATGTGTCTTGAATCGCCCATTCCTACGCAAAGTATGTTAGTATCTAAGTTGTGAATATATTCTTTGACGAAAATTGATGATTTACCATCGAAATGATCACCGGGACAATAAGTGTCAAGACACTTTGCAAGATTAATGGCAGGAGTAAGACCCCACCAGATGATATTTCCTAAAGAATCTTCAGTACGAGCTACCATAGCAACCAGTTGGCAACAGTATTTGGATTTTCGCAAGATGTTTTTATGCTCAATATCTTTAAAACAAGTCTAAACAAAGTGATATCTCCCACTAACTTTTTGACATTGAGATAAAATTAAAAACATTTGATAGCATCCAGTTAAAGCAATCAATCGACACAACCAAATTGATGAAGCGTAGAATGATGGCAGGATTAATGCAATCCAAGTTTAAGTGAGTACACTTGTTACGGAATCGTGAGCACGCTTAAATCACAAGTCCTCACGTTCCTGGTCATTTGAAGGTTTGAACATGTTTAAAATATACAGTTAGAATGAATGAAGTTGGGAAGAGAAAAAACCACTTTCGTGACCATCGAGCATGTTGAAGATGCTTAATCATCATTTTATAGTATACCCCAATGTAGCTAAGGTGTGAAACATTCCCGTCCCTTCAAAGTATTTCGCTCGTAACCACGTTAAATATGACTGTACCACGGTTACAACATCCTATCATTGCGTAAACATGGACATTGTCGACTGGAAATCAATCATTTGTCAGTAAATAATCTAAGTTTATGGGCTTCCTGTCCACCTCTTAACTCATTGAGTTGCCTAGACCACCATTCAGTGCTGTACTGTTAATAACTGTACTAAACCGTTTGTCACACCATCCTGTGGGGGATGAATCTTGTTTGCTGGCTTTAAGGGATAGACTGTTGAAGTCTCTAGGTAGTAATAATTCATCAGACCAGAAGTGTGGTAACTTTAGTATTGCTTCTATTGCCTAATCTTTCTGGGTCTTATAACTTGTCGACGCTTTCAAAAGAAAGTTGGATCAACTAAGAGACCACCGTTGCTAGGACTAACACAGCTAACGCAGCCTCTTGTACCTTCCACACCGTAACTGACGTTGATTAGTTTGATAGTAGAACTCGCGTAAACATGAAACAAAGTATGGAAATCACTGAATATTAATTTATGAATACTTTCACGAACAAAAGATAGAGACATCGCCTTGACCGTGTCTCAGTAAGTCAAACTGCCTTCAATAGGTTATGGAAGCTGTCTTAGTAGGTTTCACAATTCTTTATCCTCTTTCTGGTTGTCTCTCAACGTCTCTAAATTTACTTTAGACTGTAATGATGATTAGAAGTGTTCGAATTATTGTACTAACTAGGAATTACCGAAATAGTGCAATTTAAGCCAAACAGGATTAGATGAGCACAAATGACGTATTGTGTTTACAATTCATACTCAGTTGACAATCAAATACAAAAGAGTCAATTATTCGTACAAATGCCACAGAAAGCTATTACTACACCTTTTGAACTGCTCGACTTTGAACGCATGCCGTTCGGCTTGAGGGATGTGGCACAAACACCTCAAAGATTTATGGTCAACTGAATTTGGGATGACTTTTGAGCAGGAGTATCTAGAAGATTTGTTAATTGCAAGTCCGGATTTAAAATCACACGAATAACACGTTATAACAGTGTGAAAATGACTAAATGAAAATGGAATAAACATCGAAATGTGCTTCTTTTCGGTGTTCAAACTCTAAAATTTATCAGTCATACAATAAACTCAGAAGTGATCGCACCGAACAAAGTAGTGGACACCACTGACAATACCCCATACCAAGTGCTTTGACGTTTTCCAGTTCTATTTAACTTTGATCGCAGAACCGTACCTAGTTGTGTACAATTAGTGCAAACTTAGACATATTTCCGTAAAGGCAAACCTTAACGTATTCAAACTCCCACTCCCCACTCCTTTTGATGGTGAATGCTTTTGACAAAGCGGTGGGAGTTATCCTTCAACAAATGGTTGGAAATGACTGGGAACCTATTTAGTTCTTCTCAAGAAGACACCCCAGCAGACGACGGAATGTCTTACATTTGGACAAGGACTCCTCGCAGCCTACAAAACCATTGAGCATTTCCGACACCTGTTGTGAGCATAGAATTCGTAGTTTATAAGGATTGTAAACCACTAGTCAACGCATTTAAAACTAGAATCCATAAGTATTCTTGAGAGGTCCGAAACCTTGACCATATTTCATGCATCTCGAGTAATATTCGGCATGTCAAAGGTCAGTAAGGTGTGTCCAATGAAACAAATGAAGTCAGCATCAATAGTGAAAACTTATAAAGCTATATATTTTGTGAATTCACTTACAGCTACAACTAATATCGAACTAATCATCATCAGATATATATATATATATATATATATATATAGCCTATCTTACTGAAAGATGTACACAAATAGGTTAGAGTGTATTGGCGTGTCAACAATCAAAGGTTAACCGTCACACAAATTCCATGGTTGGGGTTTTCTCACAGACAGACGCACATTTTTACCATGTTCATATCGATTTGGTAAGTTCTATATTGAGTTTTAGTGCTTTCATTTATCTATCTACATGTACAGACAGATTCACAAGGTTTCGAATAGCCATGTTGATAACAGACATCGCAGCTGAAACAGAGGCCAAAGCTTTCATACAGAACTAAGTGACCATCTTTGGTACACAAATCACAATGACGACGGATAGAGGATCTATGATGATCAGAAGTATTTGAATTGTAGTATAAACTAGTAATCCCAGGAATAACGCAATTTAATCAAGAAGTATCAGATGAACTCGAACGAATGTATTGTATTTGGAATTTAAAATTACAACAGTCATCAATACGAAGAAGTCATTGATTTATTTAAACATCACATCCGCCACAGCTCGAATTGGAGTGTAAGTGTCTGTAATCGATTGTTCGTCCTCTTCTTAAGTTCATCTTACATCTGTCCGACGGTGTATTGGATGTAGACTCTGTATTATCTAGAATGCACTCATTAGTATTAGAATTAACAACCGAAATTGGAACAGACTCACCTGGATTCTGGTATTGTATTTGATCAACGTGTCGGTTATGTATGGTCAAGTCATTGATATCCAGAATTCGCACCATAGATTTTCCAACATTCTTCACCACGATCCCCGTGGCTGGTCGAAGATCATTACCACGATAATACGTAACTTCTGCAGACTCCAAACACCTCATATTCGAACGGAGAATTCTTCCTTTTAATAGCTTTGATGGAGTCTCTTTCGTCACAGAATGCTTAGCATTTCTATATTGAAGTAGAAATGTATCTACTCCCCTCTCCAGTTCATTGAATGTCGAAGCAGCAATAGAATCAATAGCAATTTTCAATGTTCTTACGAAATTTTCTGCCTGACCATTGGAACAAGGGTGCCTGGGAGCCGTAAACAGATGTCTGCACCCTATACCATTTAACCAATTAGTGACTGCATCTGCAGCAAAATGAGAGCGATTATCAGTCACCAACACCATAAAAACTCCTTCTCGACTAAACACCTTCCTTAATGCTTGAATTGTGAAGTTAGAATTCGGTGAAGTTGTGAAAAAAACTTCAGGCCACTTAGAAAAAGAATCAATAATTACAAGTGCATAGTATTTGCCAAGAAATGGACCACAGTAGTCTGCATGAATTCTCTGCCAGGCCTCAGACGATACTGGCCATGGAGTCCACTTCGAAGGCAGACTTTTTAGCTTATGACATTTCTCACAATTGTTTGCTGTACGACATATATCTGCATTTATCTCTGGCCACCAACATGTGAGTCTTGCTAAGGACTTCATTTTCTCAACACCAAGATGTCCACTATGAAGATCATCAAGGACAGGTTTGCGTAATGAAGGAGGAATAACAACACGATCATTTAAACACAAAATACCGTCAGGAGTAGTAGATAACTCGTCCCGCTTTGAATAATAGACAGGAAATCTACGTTTCAGATTAGCATTCCAACCCTTCGTATAGCACTGAGTATACATCCAAAGTATCTACGAGTTTCTCTAATGAGATCTGGACGTCTCACCGGTAAAGGTTGCACTAACAAGCAGTCTGAAGTATTAACAGGTCTATCTTGTAATGGTTGTCGAGAAATGTAGTCAACGTGTTGAATTTGTTTTGCACTCCTGTGCTGAATCGTATAGTCATAAGCACTCAAAGCAATACTCCATCGTTGAACCATAGCAGCTGAGAAACGTGCTAAGGATTTGTCAGGATGATAAATGAACTTTAAAGCTTCATGATCAGTAACAATGGTAAACTTCTTTCCAAATAAATATTTATGAAGTCTTTTAACAGCCCAAAACACAGCTAACGCTTCTCGCTGCGTTTGTGAATAACCTTGTTCAGCAACAGAAAGTTTGCGTGAAACACATATAACTGGCCTACCTTCCTGTTCCAAAACTGCACCAATACCTACAGGTGACGCATCAGTAATAAGAACAGAATGTACACTGGGTGAGTAAGTTCGAAGAACAGCATCACTTTGAAGAAACTTTAGCAGACTTCGTAGGCATGACTCTTGTTCTTCACCCCATTTGAATGAATTGGATGTCAAAATATTAAATAAACAATTGGCACGACAAGAAAAATTAGGAATAAAACGAGAATAGTACTGAAGAGCACCCACTAGTGAACGTAATTCTGTGATGTTTTTTGGAGACGGTGCATTTGTCAGTGGAGCTAGTCGTTTCATATCTGGTCTAAAACCATTGCCATCAACTAGGTATCCAAGGCATTCAAAACTAGATACACTAAATGAACATTTATTTGGATTCACTGTAATATTCTTCTCAATTAAACGACGCAATAAAGCAATAAGTCTCTGGTCATGGACTACTTTATCAGCACCATGAACAATGAGATCATCTTGATAAACTTCAACACCTTCAATATGGCTGACTATCTTATTCATGACCTCTTGAAATATGGCTGGAGAACAACTAAGACCAAATGGAAGGAAGTTGTATTTGAACAGACCAAAAGGAGTGTTAATTGTTGTCAAGATAGATGAAGATTGATCTAAAGGGATTTGAAGATAAGCATCTTTCAAGTCAACTTTCGAGAACACTTTAGAACCATGAAACCGATTTAGAATATCTTCAGCCTCCATCGTCGTGCATGTTTGCTTCAACAAACGGGAGTTCAGTGTCAATCTGTAATCACCGCATATTCTAGGGGTCTTGCCATCCGACTTCAATGGCGTAACAATAGGAGTACCCCATGCTGAGGACTGAACTGGTTCAATTATACATT